AAATTCTCTAAATAACCACACAAAAGTAAGGGGAAGTTCTTCTCCCAATGACCACCAAAGTAAGGGGAAGTTCTCCTAATGACCTTCAAGGTAATGAGAAGTTCTTCTCCCCATAACAACTAAAATAGAAAAGAAAGTTCTTCTCTCATAGACCACCAAAGTAAGGGAAGTTCTTTTCCCCATGAGTACAAAAGTAAGGCAAAGTTCTTTTTTCAATGACCACCAAAGTAAAGGTAATTTCTTCTCCCAATGGCCACCAAGGAACAGGGAAGTTCTTCTCCCAGTGACCACATAAGTAAGGGATAGTTCTTCTCACAATAACCACCAAAGTAAGGGGACACTACATTGGCAATTAATGTGAGGGGACATTTCTTTTCTGACCACCAAAGGCATGCTCTACAATTTTTACTGTGTGTGTGTATTTTCTGATCATTAATACTAGTTTTATTTAATTGTATTACTTAGTGATCACATTAATGTACCATGAGTTTTAGAAATAGGTTTCCCAAGATCTGAAAATGATTTCAGAGGTTCATCTGGATAATAGGATTGAGAAATGTGGCACTAAGTAATACCCCTTACCCCCACCCATGTAACTAATTGCTGCAGCAATAAAAAAAAAAGTAGATCTAAATGCCTACAATACTTAGATCTGTGGTCAAGTGATATGTCAGGTTGCAAGTCTTCCCTCTTCTGGACTGCGTGTGAGGGTTCTCCTTTGCATGCCTACATTACTGCCTGAGGATGTTGACACTTCCCATTGGGTCCATTATTGGGGTCCTTACAGGGTCCTGAAGATTTTAGCAGTATGGTCATTCATGCAGGCAACAAGACCAGTTGGCTACAGGTCCAGGTATTGGATCACCAGTCTTCACAGGGGTCACAGGGGGTCATATAATGGTGGACACATGTGAGTAAAAAAATTGATAGAAAGTTTTTATTAAAAAAATACATTGTAATTAGGTGTGAGCAGGATGGTGTGGTATTTAGGGGCACGTTTACCCATGCTTTAACATGCATATTCTCTGGGAGGGTGGGGTTGTTTTACCAACCCCATACTGATAAGTCTAAAACAAAAAAACAAGTACATGCAGGGCCTGCATTACAGGCCAGGGGGCCAGGGGGCCAGGTAACCAAGATGTTAAAATGGTTAGCAGGAAGGTTAGTTGTCGGTCACCTATCTGATTAGTGGGCTGGAAGCTGGAATTGAGAGGCTCCAAGTGTGCTCAGAAGGCTATGAAGTCCTAAGAAGTTCAGTTTGAGAGTTGCAGCCAATCGAGAGAACTTCCTGTCCTAGATTTCTGGAAGTCGGACAGCAAAAATGGAAGTCACAGCAGCCTGTAAAGGGGTTTGGTGGGAATGAGAGTTGGTCAGGTATCTATTTTCGGTATGATGTCCTTTCTTCAGTGTGGTTAACTTGATGTGAGCAGGTATTAATTGATTAGGATGTGTCTGTGGTTAGTTTGAGATCTTCCATGAGGTGGTGTGGAGCAGCTGAGGAGCTAACGTATGGACCAGGTTCTGTAGGCACATGGATCTGGTTCCGTTACTTTTAACCCCAATTCTTATACTATTGTATTGTTATTAAGACATGTCTTGAACCTTAGTCAAGTACAGCAAAGTGAAAAGCAGCAGAGTTGTCAGTCTTTATACACAGCCTACTGAGCATGATAGGTTTATTGTCATTTATAAACGGGGGGTAACAATTTCTCTCTGAAACCTAAGTCCTTTTAACCAGCTTGATTACATATAAAGTCTCATGTCATGTGAAGCAGCTTCTCCTACCCTTAAATCATGGTAAGCTGATCGTAATTTAAGCCTTTTCATGTTTTGTCGTTAACAATGATTGCCCGCCATGCAAACAATAATGAGATAGGCGTTTAGTGCAACAGAGGTGTTGTGTGAGAAATGGATAACACAACTACAATCTGCGGGAATATAATTGAAAGAATACCGCCATTTCGTATGTGTCATCTAGCAGATTACTTTAACCTGTCGCTTGTGTACAATCAAAGGCAGGTTTTATTTATTTCACCCCGAGGCGTCTCTGTTTTGCTGTCCCTGCGATCACAGGCATGGCTGTGTTTTCTTTGTGTAGATTCAATTAACGTTATTGTTCTATCCTTGTCTTATTGAGTAACAAATCAAGTAAATGGAGGTGACTGGGCTGAGGAAGGTGTTAATTCAAACCTCCAAACTTCCTGAGATGGAAAGAGAGGCACCTTTTAGCAAAAAGTAAGATGACGAAGGACACACTTCTACCATATCCACAGTTAAGTGGACCATGAAAGTAGACATGTAAGCTGCGGAAAAATTCGGTTTGTTTTGGATATTTCATTATTTCGGGATTTGTATCCGAAATTCAATTCGGTTCGGGTTTCGTATTCGGACGAAATCTGAATTTTCGCTAGTTTCGGATGAGTTTACGAATATTCGTTGCGAATACGACAGAAAACAATATACAGATATTAATACTAAAGCTGAAGCTCCTAGACACGAATAGCATTCAGGAGTCCAAATTTCCAAATACCATTGGGGAGTTCCAGAAAGCAATACGGGTCTTGGGAGCCATATTAAAGCTGAGGCTTCCAGACCTGAATGGCATTTCGGGAGCTCTCGAATGCTATTCGGACAATTTGGACTCCATTCGGGTCTTGGAGCATCAGCTTTAGTAATATATTTGTAGTGGCAACATTGTGACCCATATATACATAAACCTAAATCTGAGGCTCCCGGACCCGAATGGCATTCAGGAGCTCCCGAAAACAATTCGAAAATTCAGATTCAGACCCATTCGAATGCATTAAACCCGAAAAACACATCTGATTGGCCAGAAAAGTCACATGTCCGCTTTAATTTCGTTTTTGAACGAAATTAGGGCGGGATCCGAAATTCGGAAACGAAAATTCGGATTGGGATGCATTCGGATGCATTGAGATCGGAAATTCGGATGCGTCAGAATGTCGGAATTTCAGAAAATTTGTACAAATTTTGATTCGGAACAAAACGAAACGCACATGTCTGTATGAAAAAATTAATACGCCAAAAATGATTGGTTAAATCCACAAGTGCTTTATTTCAACACTACTTTTCCTTTATACCGACTTTTCAAAATAACAAAGACAAAAGCTGAGAGGTCAGATGAAAGTTTAGTGTAGTATAAACCTTTTGGAAGTTAAATACTACATTTTTGTAGAACTCTGTACATCAGAACAAAAAGAGGGACAATTGAGGAGGAAAGAGGGACAGAGGGATTTGGGAGAGTTGGGAGCTATGTTAATTTTGTGCAGACAAAATGCACTTACCTAATTGGTGGCTCAGGATCAGGTGGTGCGGGTAGTTGTAGCAAAGAAAGGTTGGCTGGGTACGATAGTCCCATATTGCTTTTAAACCATTAGATCATTATATGCCGCTGGACCAAGGAAGCCATATAAGCACCTGACCACCATTAGGGCTACAAGAAACAACATGCATTGGTTCTTTTTGTTCCTTCTCTTTAGGTTTGATTTTAATTAACGGGGACCAGATAAGGTAATGCAGGCAACGTAATGGGAAAGTGTAACACTCCCACGTGTTTATTACCTTTTACAAAGATCACAGTACTCCCCTTGACAAAGCTTTCATCTGCTTTTCTCTTCACAAGGACATAGCCATCTTTGTTCAGTCATTATCCAGGGTCACCATCTACTTCCTGGACTAAAATGTTGACTTAGAAATGACACGATCCTATAAATCCTTCTGCCTGTGTAGTTCTTGGCTATATCTGTCACAGATTAGCCCTTCTTGCAGCCTCTCACCTTGCTTTAAAAGAGAACTATAGGGTAACCTTTTTATCTCATAGTTCTCTTAAGGGTCATGGGGGGACATATACTAACCTCCTCCCGTGACTCCAAGCTCAGTATATAGCGAGCTATTGCTCACTATATACTGAGAGCGCCGCAGCCAGGACGGATCCACCGAGCTGCGTGAGTGACAGCGGGCTCTGCCTATCTAGAGGCAGAGCCAGCTGTGCCTGTCCCCTCCCCCATCCGTTTCTCCAGTCAGGACTGGAGTATCAGAGCGGGGAGGGGGGGAATCCCTCACGGCTCTGTGCAGGGAGATGATCGGAAAGTGAGCGAGCAACGGTATGTGTTCACTCACTTCCCGATCTACTGAGCCGACCTGTGACAGTTTCATTGTCACAGGTCGGCTCACACCGTTAGGTTGAGTGAAAATCACTCACCTCGTAGTTCTTCTTTAAGTTACAGTGTGGGTGATTATGAGGGGAGAGGAGGCTTCCTCCTTCCCGCAGGAGACTGATGACATCATCTGAGCCTAGGCACAGTCAAGTGACTGAAGCTCAGGAACTGTTTCAATAGATACAAGGTACAGTCTTTTTAAAATGTATATTGTTGCTCTACAGTGTGACATGTGGCATGTCCACTAAAAAAAAATATGTGTATCACAATGTGAAAGATCTGAAATGTTTGTACTTTTTGAAAGCTCTACGGTGTGAGGTTGATATTTTACTTCAAACCCCCCAACAGCTATGCTGAATACAACCTGACTCCGTATCTCTTCAAGCTACCCTGTTTCCCCTTAAATAAGACCTACCCCGAAAATAAGACCTAGTACTATTTTTGGGAATTGCTAAAATATAAGACCTACCCCGAAAATAAGACCTAGTGTGATTTTTTGAGCCAAAAAAAATATAAGACAGTGTCTTATTTTCGGGAAAACACGGTAGTGCTGAAAATGCAATTCTGCTTATAAAGCAGAGAGAGAAATGACATCAACATACATCTTAAGCATAGAAAGCCTTTTGATATCTCCTTATATTTAGAAAGGAGCGTGACAGCTGATATGCGGAACCCATGCCTGCGCTTTAATCTTCTGCTGGAAGAAGCAGAAGGGGTGTTTTGTCGGGTTCCTAGAAGGCTAAAAAAGACTCCACTGCTTGCAAGCACTCTTCCTGATTCCCAAAGTGTTTGATTCTAATACGTCTTGCTTTGTTCCCGCAGGTTCTTGCATTTGCTGTTGCACGAGATTTCGACTGCATCCCAGGATTTCAACAGAAGATATTTTACATAGAGCAACCGTTGGAGTTTCTGGAAGACCAACTCATCTTAAATGGTAGGAACTGGTTTCATCTTTTGTGGTGCTCCATGCAAGGGGGCACGCAACCTTTCTCAAGCTGTAGCCAGAATATTTATGTGCAGCTTTATGGAACTTACTGTATGTGCTTTTTTATTTATTTTTTTATCCATATGGGTTTAGGATAATTGCAAGTAAATAAATAAATAAATCATACTTGAAGTGGTGGTCATACCAAGACAGTTTTGTTTGGTTTTGGGGAGGAGCTTTAGAGTGTTTGGCAAGTGGTTTTTACTGCTGTCTCTGTTCTCCTCATTTCCTGTCCCGCTGGTGGGACTTCAGTCAGTTCTAATGGTTGATGTATGCCTTCTTCCCACCGGCAAGATTAAGTCCTTGTTTGATTAAATCACATGGCAACAGCAGCTCCTCCCCTCACATCCTGGTCAGCTCTGTATCCTCTCCAAACAGCTACATGGTCAAATCCTCCCTCCTATCCACATTTCCACTTCCAGTTAAATCAACAAAATTTGATCTAAAAATTTGGCTATACCTACACAAATACAGACTGGTGTCACCAGGAAAGTAAATGAGGGGTAAACTCAGACAGCAGTAAAGTTTCTAACCCTTCTCTACTCCATACAAAACAAAAAAAGTGGTGTCTTAAGATCAGCTTTAACAACAAGAAGAGATTGGTGGCCCCAAACAATATTGGCAATTGCCAATATACTGTCATTGGTAGCGTATTTTTACTATAGCCTAACTTTTTTTTTTACCCGAGCTTTGGGAAACTACTCTGATCATAATAGAGTTTTTCAGTGCTGATGACTCTTCTAGCTTTATTATAAGCACAATGTGGCCTGTCTTTAAAGGGGCTTGTGGTCAAAAGAACCCACACCTAGCTACCAGTTATGGGTCAGCTGGTCATAATGCCTCTGTTTTTTGTGGTGAGATCAGAAAATGAGTGCAGGTAGGTGGCGGTGTCTACTGTTTTTTTTTTTAATACATCTTTAGATTTAGAGTAGAGAAGGGTTAGTACCTCTGTCATGACTGCTGGGGAGATTTTCCCTCTCTAATTGTCTTGGTGGCCATTTCTACCTAGATAGAAAGTGATGGAAGCTCCAAAATCTTATGGTTGTCAACAGACCAAAAGGTTCTAGGGACAACTAAGAGGGGATTGTCCCCCTTTTTAGGAGATATGTTCTCTCCTCAGTATAGGATTTGATGGAAAGTCTAGTGGGACATAGACAGCAATAAAGACCTGAAAAGGGTTTTAATCTAGAGGGGATTGTCTCCATACTTTGGAGATATGTTCTTTCCTAGGATGTGATGGAAAATCTAGTGGGACATAGACCTGAAAAGGGTTTTAATCTAACTAACAAACTATTTTTGGCTATGGATTTATTTTAGAAAATATAGAAGTTTTTTTTTTGGCTACATGTGATAAGATGATGTAAGAGATGATGAAAATCTGATTTATTGTATATGAGACAGAGATAACTTGTACTGTGTTTTTAAGCTGGTGGAAAAAGTTTATTTAGAAAACACTAGGGCCAGCTCAAACGGATCTAATACATACCTAATGCTGGAGCTCTGTGTAGGCGACTCTTGCTCCACACCAAACCTTTCAAACCAAGTCTTTATGGAGCTGGCTTTGTACACAGGGTTACAGTCGTGCTTGAACAGAAAAGGGCCTTCAACAAACTGGCCCCACAAGGTTGGAAGTGCACTCTTGTCTAAAATGTATTTGTATGCTGTAGCACCACCAGTGCCTTTAAGTGGAAATACTTAAACTCTATCTTTTTTTGCCATATAGATAGGTGTGATGGCCAGGTGTCCACAGACTTTTGGCAAAATAGTTTCCCCTTATAACAATCTCTATGGCAAGAGATGTTCATGGGATTGAAGACTGGAGTGGGTTCTGTAGGGTTATGGCTTACTATGGCTTACTTATAGGGTTAAAACCCAGTGGGGGGTTGCAATGGCCCCATAATTCTTGGGGGCTTGGTTTAAGATAGATAGATAGATAGATAGATAGATAGATAGATAGATAGATAGATAGATAGAAGCATTATTGTTTGATAAGGTAACATATTCTTCAATAGTTCTAGAATTTCGCCAACTTTTTATTGTTGAGAAACACTTTGTTTTCTTCTTCGGTTGAAATTAAGATTTTAGGAACATTTTACCTTGAACAGAATAACTTTGAGAAGTAAAGCCTCCAATCAAGATATGTCTGATTCCAGAGTCACTCTTAAAAATCATGAATTTAGCCCCCTAATGACTATTCAGATGAAGAGCTGACATTTGTTGCCTTTTTATTTTGATGCACAGAATAATGGTATTCACTGTTTTGAATGATAACATACTTTGAGCAATTCTAACCAAGATTACCTTGGAAAAGAGCGATGCTTTTGTGTGATTATAGCCATTTTAATGCAATGCTGTTGACGATTTTCAGTCAAAGTTAGACTTTTGTTTACTGTGTATTAAAGATTACAATACCATACAAAGAGCACAACCAGAGTTTTGAGGTTTTTAAGTTACAATAACAGCAAAGTGAATTTCAATAATTTAGGAAATGGGTGCAGAGGAATAGGATGCTTATGCTCTCAGTTTAAGGAAGTTTGTATCTGCATCAATAGAATGAGGAGCTATTTGTGTAGGTGGTATGAGGAGCTCCAGGGGTGGTATTTCTGTAGATAGTATGGGGTGAACCAGGAATGGCATTTGTATTTGTATATGTAGTATGGGGAGCTCCAGTGATGGTATTGATATATTTCTGTAGATAGTATGGGGTGCTCCAGGAATGGCATTTGTATTTGTATATGTAGTATGGGGAGCTCCAGTGATGGTATTGATATATTTCTGTAGATAGTATGGGAGCTTCAGGGTTGTTATTTGTTTAGGAAGAATGGAGAGCTTCAGGAATGATAATTGTATAGTTATTTTGGGGAGCTCCAAAGTTTGCCATATGTGTAGACATTATGGGGAGCACAAGGACTGGTATTTGTGTATGTAGTATGGGAAACTCCAGAAGTGGTATTTATGTAGGTAATATGGAGAACTCTAGGGGTCGTTTGTGTATAAGTGATATGCGGTGCTTCGGGACTGGCATTTGTTTAGGTAGTATGAGGAGCTCCAGAGGTGGTATTTGTGTAGGTATTATGGGGTGCTCCAGAAATGACATTTGTATAGGTAGTATGGGGAGCTCCAGTGATGGTATTGGTATAGGACAGGTGGTATAGGAGCTTCAGGGTTGTTAGTTGTTTAGGAAGAGTGGGGAGCTTCAGGAGTGATAATTGTGTTGTTATTTTGGGGAAGTCCAAAGTTTGCCATATGTGTAGACATTATGGGGAGCACAACGACTGGTATTTGTGTATGTAGTAAGGGAAACTCCAGAAGTGGTATTTATGTAGGTAATATGGAGAACTCTAGGGGTCGTTTGTGTATAAGTGATATGGGGTGCTTCGGGAATGGCATTTGTTTAGGTAGTATGAGGAGCTCAAGAGGTGGTATTTGTATAGGTAGTATGAGGAGCTCCAGAGGTGGTATTTGTGTAGGTAGTATGGGGAGCTCCAGTGATGGTATTGGTATAGGTGGTATGGGAGCTTCAGGGTTATTATTTGTTTAGGAAGAATGGGGAGGTTCAGGAGTTATAATTGTGTAGTTATTTTGGGGAGCTCCAGAGTTTGCCATATGTGTATACATTATGGGGAGCACAAGGACTGGTATTTGTGTATGTAGTATGGGAAACTCCAGAAATGGTATTTGTGTAGGTAATATGGAGAGCTCTAGGGGTGGTGTTTGTATAGGTTGTATGGGGTGCTTCAGGAATAGCATTTGTGTAGGTAGTATGGGGAGCTCCAGGAGTGGTAATTGTGCAGGTAGTATGGGGAAGATCCAGGCATGCTCTTGAAGACTGTTATGCAACAGGACAGATATTTAATGGCACCTTATGTTTTCTACTCCTCTTTGCAAGGGTCACTTATACTGTATATATTTACAGTATCTATAAATATGCCTTAGTGCCCATTCACACTGAGCGTTTAATCGCGTGATTTCTGCTGCAATATCGTGCATATTTGCCGTGCGATATCGCGAGAAGTCGCCGTCCAATGATTTTCAATGGAGCTGTTCTATTCTACAGCTCCATGTCGCCTGTCGCTCATCGCTGTTGCGCGCCGCTTCTGCAGGACCCCTTTTTCTCTCTGCGCAATTTTTCTCTTTTTGCATGCAGCCCGACAGTGAAGGTCGCACGATCGTCGCCCAAACAGTCGCGCTATCCCGGTCGAGGTGAGTGTCGCTCAGTGTGAATGGGGCCTTACGGTTTACCTTAAACTGTGTATGTTCACTGCGATCTGAGAAAGAGTTAAACAATCACATGATTTTAGTATGCTTGAATTTCACAGACATTTAACACATATGAATGAAGGTACCAAGCCTACACGTTAATAAAAACGTCTGCTGTGGGTCCAGGGGGGAAATTGCTAATTTATTCACTCTTTTAAACATATGAATAAAGATTTGTCCTATTTGCTGAGAAATGTACAATTCGTATGTCACAAAGTCCCTGGATTTGAATCTGATTCTATCATCACTATACAACACTACTATTACTGAATATATAAGGAATTAATATGGTTGGCCATGTATAACTATTTATAACTATTCACAAAATAATAAGGTTTTTTGAAAGTATTAACATTTGCCATAAAGATGGTTTACATTGAGATATTTACCGTCCCATATTTATCTTACAAAAACGTTTAAAAAAAAAAGCCCATCATTTGCCATTAGGAAATTGTAACATTCTGAAAAATGACCTTCCATATAAACAACATTTTTTTTGTTTATCTAGTAAAGGGAAACTATAAGTGTTTAGGGTTTGAACGCTTTCAAAGCAGCGTTTTATATCTTCTTTTTTTTAACTAATTTATAAACTATTTATCTTACATTAAACAAAATACGGGGGTGACACTGTGGGTTTTCTAAAAGGATACTACAGCAAAAGATGTTTCCCTTTAGGCGCACTCTCTAAA